GTAATTATATATTGTCTGCCATTATATATACTACTATTTGCCTATGTATGTTTACCCATTTTATTAATATATTTTCTCCTTATCCATCATCTCTTAGTCTCCTTGAAATTGCATCATTTATCAACTTTTTAATCAACTTTTTATCTCTCTCTCTTGTAATCTTGTATCTCTTTTTGAATTTTTTGTACCTACTGTAAGGAAAGTTGTGTTTTTAACTAACATATAGAAGTATAAATAGTCCTTGACTTACAAGAATTTGTTTAGTCACCTTCGAAGTTACAACAACACTGAAAAAATGTGACATGACCATTTTCACACTTATGACCATTGCAGAATCCCCATGGTCACATTATCAAAATTCATATGCTTGGCAATTGACTCCTATTTATGATGGTTGCAGTCATGTCCTGGGATCATGTGATTTCCTTTTGCGACTTTCTGACAAGCAAGTCAGTGGGGAAGCCAGATCCTTGTAACAACCCTGTTACTAACTTAACAACTGCAGTGATTCCCTTAATCACTGTGGCAAGGAAGGTCATAAAATGAGTTGCAAAATTAACGTAACAACTATCTCGTTGAGCAACAGAAATTTGGGTCTCAATTATGGTTGTAAGTTGAGGATTGCCTGTACAGATTTGAGGGGTCCCTACTCTTTTACCCTTCCGGAAGGCCATGAACACCTAGCTTCTCCAATGTTGAGCAAGGTTGGGTTTGAGTCAGGAGGTTAATAGTTTGGTTAGTCTGGCACCTGGAGGAACAACTATGGTTTTTATTCTGTTTTTACTGGTTGTTGTGAGGTGCCCAAGATCACTATATGAGATAGCAACAGCAATATCACTTAGACTTCTGTAGACTAGCCCTCTATAAGCAGTTTACAGAGTCAGCATTTTGCCCTCAACAATCTGGGTTCTCATTTTACTGACCTTGGAAGGATGGAAGGCTGAGTCAATCTTGAGCCTGGTGAGATTTGACCTGCCAAACTGCTGGCAGACGGCAATCAGCAGAAGTAGCTGCAGTACTGCATTGTAACCATTGCGCCACCGCCAGTCGTGGCATAGCCACAAGATAGATAGCCATAAAAATTGTTTAAATAAATAAATGGATATATAGAAAGCCAGTATATATTTTTCCATGAGAAAAGTTAAAATTATTGTGTATAGGAAGTCCTCTACTTACAACCATTCATTTAGCAACCATTTGAAGCCACACAGGCACTGAAAATATGGCCAGTCTTTACACTTAGGAATCATTGCAGCATCTCCCAAGGTCACATGATCAAAATTCAGTTGCTTGGCAACCACCATGTATTTATGACGTTGCAGCATCTCAGGGGTCATGCGATCACCATTTGTGACCACCCTCCTCCCGCCCCAATCTCAGCCTCTAACAAGCAAAGTCAGTGGGGTAAGCTGGATGTGCTTAACAACCATTTGATTCATTTAACAGCTGCTTCACAGCCATGACAAAAATGGTTGTAAAATTGGGCAGAATTCTTTATACAGCTAAGAACTACTTGTAATCTTACTATGCCAACTAGAGAATCACAAAAAATGTGGTAACATTTTATTTTTAAAAAAATAAAAAATAAACCCTGGAGATGAGGAAGGCGTAGAAAAACCCAAAGCTTTTGCCATATATTTTAGCATCAGTCTGAAGATAGAGATGTGGCTGTTTTGGGTATCAGATTATTGCACTTAGCTTTCTGAAGCAACAATGGACAAAGGAGGAAATCCTAGAGCAGTGATGGCTAACCTTTTTGGCAGCGAGTGTCGAAAGCATGCACATGTACACCAATAATGCAATGTGCGACACACACCCTTGTGCGCCCCCCCCCGCATGCATGCACGACCCCCTGCATGTGCCCTGCCCCCTGCATGGCCCCCAATGTTCACACATCCCCCTGTGTGTGCCCCCCGCATGCGTGCGCATCTCCTGCATGCACCCCCACCCCCCGTGCATGTGTGGCAGAAACCCCAAAATTAGCTAACCAGTGGGAATCATACGCACATGCACAGCGGAGCTGAGCTGGGGTGACAGCTTGTGTGGCTGCAGAGAGGGCTCACGCATGCCATAGGTTCACCGTCACGGTCCTAGAGGTTCCTGGGTGTCAGCTCTGCCTTCTGCCAAAATAGGCAGAGCACACAGTCACAAGGAAAACCAAATCAGGGAAGAGAAAGAGAAGCCATCTTTCTAATCCTCCAAGCTAGAAATTAGATGTATACAATACCAACACAATACAATAGCAGAGTTGGAAGGGACCTTGGAGGTCTTCTAGTCCAACCCCCTGCCTAGGCAGGAAACCCTATACCGTTTCAGACAAAT